TTCCGTCACTACCATTAAAGCCCCGAGGGCCGTCTGCTCCCTGTGGACCCGGTGGCCCGGGTGGTCCACGTGCACCAGGTTTTCCAGACACTCCTTTACTGCCATTGAAGCCCCGAGGGTCCTGTGGCCCCCTAGAGCCTTTCATTCCTGGTGGCCCTGCCATTTTGCTGACGTTTTCCTGTAAAATGAAGGAACAGATTGAATCAAAGCTATGGATGTATAGCTTATTCAACAAAGTCTTCTTTCGGCATTGGTAATTGGGCGCTGGGAATCTATTTTTTTGTGGTCACTCAAGCACATTATTGCGTTGCTCTGTACACCTGAATGCCCTATGCCCAATCGCCAATGACCAATTGCCAAAGCATCCTTTATCGAATTAGGTATAAACGGTTTTAATCATCTTAAGGTCTGATGGATCGGACCAAGATCCAGGGGTGGTTCAAACTACCGAAACGAGATAAGCTTTGACCGTATGAGCCTCATTGATCCTAAGCGTGCCTATACCTTAATCGCTCTTGACTTAAACCTTTTTAGCCTGGCAGGAGGGGGCACAATGTGCCCACGCTGACTTTACAAAACCCTCAAACTTTCTGGATATGCCCTGAACTTAATCAAGAGGCTTAAATTTTATGGCATCTGCTTGAAGTATCTCAATAAAAAAAGATTTTGCATTGTGTGGTTCCCTGGCCACAATTTTTCATAAGATCCTCTAGGCTTATACCGACAAATCATCTTACATAAAATGTACTGCAGTGTAGAAATCTATTAGAGAGGAATTTCTCTTATTTCTCTTTCTTTTAGAAAGGTTTCCTCTTGTCCACTTTCACTTTGTTAACTCAAACAAACAAACAAACAAACAAACAAATTCATCAAATTACCAGCTTTTGCCACAGAGAAGTCAAATTCTTGGAAAGTTGATTGATTCTTTCGATGTCACTACCTTGAAGAGAACCCAGTCGAGGGTTGGATTTGCGCAAATCATGTGCGCCCAGAAGAAAACAACAGCAAAAAGTATCAGTGTTAGTACAGACCTCTTTGTATCACTAATCCCGTTTACATATCAGCTCTATTAAGGTGGCTCGATATAGTTTTTCAAGGTCAATACCTCCCAAGTTTGAGCGTAAGCTACGTCGCCATAAGCAAAGATTTGGAAAAATTGACACCACAGTTGTATTAGATAGAGATGAAAATTTGTTATGATCAGGGTTGCAATGACATCGGAGTTGTCATAGCAACGAAATGACGCCATTTCCTATTTTACTTGCAACAGTATTTCTAGGTACTGGGAACTGTTCTTCAAAAATCGTTTACTGGAGCTTTTTCCCACAATAGCCGCCTCGATGTTCGTGAAGTTTAAGCGAAATCTGTAAGAGCGTTATCGAGATATTTCGGGAAGAAGTTTTTATGGTTAGAAATACGGTAAAAAATGGACAATCTTGATGTTGGACTGTTATCTGTACTAAACGAAACGCTTTTGACATGCAATTTCACCTCATAGTAGTTTCAATATTTTTAAAAACGTGTGTGAAAGATCATGGAGATACCTCCAGCCGATTGCTAGAAAGAAGGATTTGATTAGTATGTATTAAGGCGCTCTTTTTAGCAGTAATGTAAACATTTCGGTCTACTTTAACAAATTAGCGAATAATTTTTAAACCGCTCGATAAATTTTTTCGAAAATTTAAGACTCTTGAGACTAACCGTCCTTTTATATGTCCTCTTAATTTCAAGATTACTGATACACTGTAAGGCAGTAAAATAAGGGCTTGAATTCGATAATATTTTGTCAAGAGTTTTGTGTTTGCAAGTGATAGCCTCTCATTATTCAGGGGTATTGTCTCCAGAATTCATTTTTTCGTGCACAACAATAGCTAGCATTTTTGCATATGTCAAATGCATTGTTAGTTTCTGCTGTTCACGTGAAAATGAAACCTTGAGACAATACCCCTGAATAATCAGAGACTCTCACTTGTAAAGACAAAATTTCCGACAAAATATTAGCGAATTGTAGCCCTTATTTTACTGCCTTACAATATATC